TCTCTCCATCGTGATATAATTTCCTTCTTGTCTGTGTGGAGTGTGTTGCCGACAGATGACAGAACAGGTGAAATTCCATTTCCTTGTGGGCTGTACACCTTTTTAAGGTCTTCATAGAATGCTTTGGAATCATTTCTGTCAGCTAACGCCTGGAGTCCCACAGCCTTAGCAGACCACCAGGACTCTTTCATTTTTCTGAGAGCATTTTGCATTTCCCGCTTACATTGCTTATATATACGCTTTTCTGATGGACTATTTTTGTTAAGAATATTTTGCGTGGATCGTGATGCTTCCTCATGGGAAGTCCTAGAACTTCAAGAAAGCTGGAATAAATGGCGTATCTGAGAGATTTCCAGGAGGATTCAAAGTCTTCTGAGATCACAACTGAATCAAGCCTCGAATCAGTTATATATATATATATATATATATATATATATATATATATATATATATATATATATATATATATATATATATTACTGTTGATCAATGTGTTATACTTAGTTGATGCATGTATTACATTATACTCTGTTATTATATGGGAACTCGCTTTTTCTGATACTAAATATGAATATTGTAGCGATATCAGTGTCAGCCGATATCTTGTGAAATGAAAACTTCTGAGCTGTCACAAAAATTGTTTCAGATATCTAGTTGCCCTGATGATTGTCAGTTAGGTGAAATGGCCATCAAAAGGACAATAGCAAAGAAAGTCACTGAATGAAGATACATTTTTAGACAAAAATGAAAAGATAAAAAGCAATGTCCTCTATAAGACAGTGGTCACGACCAGCTGAAAACAAAGGAGCAGACAGATTGGCAAGAGACTATCTCGCAGCAACGCGAAAGTGAAGACACGCATGTTAGTCTTTCACCTCCCCCCTCACCTCGTTTCATCTTTGCATTGTTCGTCTATAGCAGTAGGATACAATCAAAACAAAATTTGTTTACTGCTACAAAAAGTCTCATGGTTTTATTTTGTGGGTGACGATCTGGTCAAAGATTTATTTTTAATCCAAAACGTTTGAATGGAAAAAGCTGCACCCTGAGAACAACCCTGGAGTTTGGTTTGGGCTGCAATTTTACAGTATCCTATATTTATTCTTCATTTTCCTTAAAACTTGAACCTTTTGTGCAGTTTGGCATTTGTTCTAGATTGTAAGCCTACTGGCCTTTTATAGTAGATTTCACTCCCTTTTTTCTGTGTGTATGGTTTATACCCTTTTAATATATTGTTGGAAAATAGTAAATGGGAAGTTCAGATCCAAATATCATAAGTCAGGGGTCATAATTCCAAAGGTCATGAATCGGTCTTGCAAGTCCAATGTTAGAAAATTCCGGATCAAAAATCCTCATTCACAACTCCCCACATACAACTACTTTCTTCACCCATGAAGAACTAAAAGTCTATACTGTTTCGTTCAAAGTAAGAAGCATTCTGATTGATTGAGACGAGTACGCAAGTGCGAACAGTAGCCATATTTTGAGGCTTACTTAAGTCGACCTAATCTTTATTTTGATTTTCTTTTTTAACAGATAGCATGGAGAACACAAATTAATTTCCGCGGTAAAGTTTGGTTTTCTTCTTTCTCGCTACAGATGCGTATTATACACTGTTCATATATTTATTATAATCTTTTAGAATTTTGGAACTGTTTATCTTCTTTCAGTTGTACTTAAAAATATGAATAAGCACTGAAATATTATTAAAGTCAACAACACACCCAGATACTTCTTACTTTCATATTTTGCTTTAAAATGATTGAATAAATTAGGTTTTAAAAACATCAATTTATACATTATCCTATGTGCTGTCCCTTCATGATGTGGGCTGTCATGCCTCTCCACAATTTCCTCTCCCTTGTACTTCTTAGTAAGGTCTGTCTTTTAGTTATCTCCCTAATCTGTGCTCTGTTATCCATTTATACAAACTCAATACCTAGGTTACTTACACCTTTCCTGTGTACCTTCTTCCTTCAATATATTCTTCATGTGTCAAATTTTCCACGTTCTATGCCTTTGAAATTTCAACCATCTCTTTCTGATTCTATCTATAAGTGTCCTTTTTTTCTTCCTTTTTCCTTAAAACTTTTTCGTTACTCAAATTCGAGTCTCTTCTTCATCTTTGTGGAGATTATCCAGCACTCAGTGCCATACAGGAGGACAGGTATCATGTAACAGTTTAGTATTCTGTTCCTTGTTTCTAGCGAAGTTTTTTCTATTTCTTAATACTCTGCTTAGCTTTTGGAAGTCATCTTTGTCTATCCCAATACGCCTTCGGATTTCAGTGTCGCAGTTTCCGTCCTCTATTAGAACACTTCACAGTTATATTTAAATTTCCGTAATTGTTTGATTTTGGTATCGCCGATTTGCTAGTCGCACTTTGGGCTCAACCTTTTGCTAACAACCAATCATTCTGTCTTCGAGTAGCACACTTAACATCTAGCTAATTCAACAGCAAAACGGCGAGACCTATCTGCCAATCTAGTAGTACATTTAAATTAATGCAGTCAAGGAGGAGAACTCATTAGTACAACTGACATGAAAATATTTATAGAAAAGACAAAGGGAAACTACATAACGGCGATGGAAAAGTGATTGAAATCAAAATATATAGTAGAAATTTCTTTTCTTGTTCATTCCTCGCTTGTAGAATTGTTTCCAGTCAACTTTGATCATCAGAAATTTAAATCCGATGCCATTCATCATCTTCTGTCTTCTTAATTCTTATTCTTTTATTGTCATCTCTCCTTAATAGTAGTTTTTCTCATATTCTCTAACAGTCAGTAACTCCTTGCATCTTAGTGGCTTGCTTGGGGTGAAATGATTCAAAAATGTGTTTATTGACTTGCAAACAAGATTAATGGTTAATAATATGAAATATCAAAGGTTATTGTCTTACAAAGAAGATTAACGGTTTAAAATAAATTTTAAATGAAATTAAATGCCTGGATTTGAAAATAAATCACGAAGTTATAGGAAGGCAAAAAGTGAGTACATTTTTTATGGACATATGCGTTGCACATGAATGACGTAACGGTGATGGAAAAGTGATTGAAATCGAGATATATATTAGGAATTTCTTTTCTTGTATTCCTCGCTTGTAGAAATCTCCAGCTTCTTGCTTTCCAATCAACTTTGATCATCAGAAATTTAAATCTGATGCCATTCGTCATCTTCTGTCTTCTTAATTCTTATTCTTTTATTGTCATCTCTCCTTAATAGTAGTTTTTCTCATATTCTCTAACAGTCAGTAACCATCTTGCGTCCAAGAGTCTTTACTGCCTTGCTTGATTAAAACATAGTTAGAAACATAATCCATTTAGTGAGGAGAAAGGACATTAAAAAAAAAAAACAGGTTTCCGCAAGACATAATATGGCGACTGACATTGCATTTAAACTTTTGAAAAATTTACGTGGCAGGAAAGCACAAAGCAAGAAGAGAGTCCCACAGACGAGAAGTGCGAGAAAAGAAAATATGAGAATAGTATTTACGGTTGCATTTAGCAAGTTCAACAGTAAAACAGCGAGACCTACCTGCCAATCTAGTAGCACATTTAAATTAATGTAGTCGAGATACAAAGAAGGAGACTTCATTAGAACAACTGCCATGAAAATATTTGTAGAAAAGATAGAATGAATCAAAGTCACGACGGTACGAAATGATGTTTATCTTGCTTGTTTTTAATTTAAATTAAATCTCCCGTGGATGCCTGAAGAGCGGGAGCGAAACCGGTTACTTCGCTTTTAATGTCTGGTAATATTAAGCTTCACACTTTTATTTCCGTGATTAAATTTTGTACCTACAAAATATATCTATATATATATATATATATATATATATATATATATATATATATATATATATATATATATATATATATATATATATATATATATAATATGCAATGTGATAGGTATCTGGCATCTTGTCTACAGTCTGCTTCCTCTGTCTTTTCTACAAATATTTTCATGTCAACTGCTCTGACAAGCTACTTTCACTGGTTCCCAAATTGCAAGAATTTAAGCCTGCTACTATGTTGGCATCTCGACCCACCCTTTCACTGTCAAAACGGATAAATGTAGCCGTCTCTTCTACTCCAACAGCTTCTTATCTCGCATTTCCCGTCAGTGGAACCCCCTTCCTCTTACTTGCTTTCCTGGTAACTATAATCTTCAAATATTGGAATGTAATATCAATCGACATCTTTTGCTGCCTTGATCTTGATCCTCGTCCTTCTCTTTATCCTTTCCCCAAATACCCCTCTTTACTCTTGCTCTCACTCTCTGTAGCCCCTTGTGTGCTAGTGGCACTTCCGTCTTGCTTGGGGTGATATGCTTAAAAAAATATAGCCAGAGTATCAGCAATATTCAATGCACGGATAAAAGGTAGATTTATAAATGTGGCAGATAAACTAGAACAGAATTATACACTTTATGATTTTAACTTAAGTTGAAAAATGATTATTATTATTATTTCTTTATATTTATTCATAATCATAATAATCTTCACAGAAACTATTTTCCAAAATGAAAGTTTGGTGTTCTCACAAGACCACACATCACATCTGGATTCTAAGCATTTTGAGGCGAACAAATTATTTAGCGAAATAGTACTTCTACTGAATTCTTAACCCAGAGTGAATTCTTCTGTAGTTTGCGTTGCTCGGAAGTTTGAAGGTAATCTTAAAATTCTTGGTTCAATTCAGATGAAACACGGTTTATTAAATTAGGTAAAGATCGGATAAGAGTAGAGATTTGGCGATTGACTTCCTTCTTGATTCTAAAAACATGATCTCAGAAATTAGGTAACGGTCACGTGGGACTGATAATTCAGCCATATCTCATGAGGATACAAACTGCTAAATATTTTCTTCTTTATCTTAATATATCTCTATCCGTCGATCTCGCATTATCAGATTTTATATTTACCAACCAATTTTAAATTTACTTTTTTGAGTTCTTATGTAAGTGTTTCCAGCTCAAAATACGAAAGCGTATGTCCACATCACGTTGAAACAACGTTACTCGTACGACTACCGATGTTAAGCATCGTCGGACGTGGTCAGTACTTACATGGGTGACCACCTGTGAAGGCCAGCTGCTGTAAGCTTGGTTGTGTGTGTGGTTGGTGTGATGAATGATTACTCGGAATTGTTAATAGGACATCCAAGTACTTGTAGGGCAAGTAAAAGTAGGTGTTTTAGTTTTTAATGAAAAGTGGTTACATCTTTGTTTTACTACTGCTTTCTTGAATAGTTTTCTCTTTTTGTAATTGAATCCTTGTCTTTTCCTAAACAGTAACCCTTTGTTTCCATTTTTCAATAGTAATCCCTTTTAGCAGAAATTGTTATCCTGCTTAAATAGGTGCACAAAAGGAAATTTTTTGTACCTTTTTCATACTTGTGTAATAAATGTTTTTCCTTTAAAATTTTATACAGTGGTTGAGTCTTGTTTTGTTATTTTGTGCCTATTATGGCTTGCTATTCCTACTAATTAGGTTTTTTGTTACAGGCACAAGAACTTAGATTTAGTAGGAAATAAAATTTTTATAATATATATACAACATTTTGCTCAAGCAAGGCAATAAAGGAACTAACATGCAGGAGGTTACTGAGTGTGAAAGAATATAAGTAAAACAAAAACATTATCAGTAAACGTAACGATTGACATTGCATTTAGATATGAAGGCTTATGGTCACATCACATTGAAAAGCCGTTACCCGTACGATCACTGAAGTTAAGTAACGTTGACCCTGGTCAGTACCTACATGGGTGATCACTTGGGAATACCAGCTGTTGTAAGCATAGATGTGTGGTTGGTGTAATGGATGAATACTTGGAATTGTTAATAGGACAACCAAGTACTTGTGGGACAAGTAAATGCAGGTGTTTTAGTTTGTTTGTTTTTCTGAAAAGTGGTTGCACCTTTGTTTTTCTGCCTTTTTTTGAATTGTTTTCACTTTTTGTCATTGAATCCTTGTCTTTTTCTAAACTGAAATAGTTTTTTTTTCCCATTTTTCAATGGTAATCCTTTTTATCAGAAATTGTTATCCTGCTTTGATAGTGTTATGGTCCGGTTCCTTGTACCACGGTGATAGTCCAAGGTAGAACCAATAAAGAAGAACTCGAACACGGATATGGAATAACACAGATATATTACAAACAGGAATAGATACAGAGAAGTAGAAAGTGTTAGTATGAACAATCAGGTTTAGTAGTAATTGTCTGAACGCGACTCTGTTTAGGACTGCCTCTGACTCGACTGACTGACTCGCTCTGACTGATTGACAGACTCCTGGCGGACTTCACTCCAGACTTCAGACGGAACTCAGACTTCAGGCGGAACTCTCAGACTTCCTCTTGGAGCGCAGTATTTATTACGTATGGAATAGTCCATTATGTTATTATGGGTAAGGTCCCATAAAAGATAGGCACCCAAAAGGAAATTTTTGTGCAATCTTTGTATTTGTACCTTTTTCGTATTTGTGTAATAAATGTTTTTCCTTTAAAATTTTACGCAGTGGTTGAGTCTTGTTTTATTATTGTGTGCCTAATATGACTTGCTATTCCCATTAATTAGGGTTTTTTGTTTTGTTTTGGGCGCAAGAACTTAGATTTAGTGGGGAATAAAAAAAATTATAATTGATACAAAAGTTAATTTTATAGCTGGACATGAGTCCGGGGTCATTAAACAGGTGAGTCGTTAAGTGACGAATGACTATATAATTGTATTTTTTAATCAAGTTTAAAAATTAACAAAATAATATTATGGATCCATTTATCTCGCCCTCTTTGGCCAAACAGTCAGTCTTTGTTTTTATTTTCTTTAGCGTGATGAGCATTCGGCAAAGCAAAAATTTCGTTATTAAGGCGGGTATTGGTAGCAGTCTAGAGAAATGCCCGTTAGTGGTTATTTTGAAGTAAGACTATAATAGGGATAGTAGTAATCTCGGAAATTATATCAATGTAAATCTATTGTTTTTCTCATCCCTTAGCAGCAAGGAAATATCAGTAAAAAAAATCACCTTTTAACTGATTCTTTATGTGTCCCGCATGCCAGATTTCTAAGCGGTAGTGTTCCGTCCTCTTCTACCGTCCCTTCTTGCCTCTAGATCAGAAGTGTCAGGTTTATAAACTTTTTATCAGGCTCAAGAATTTGGCGCAAACATTTGTTTCGACTAGCATCAAACGTCTCTTTGTATTATTGTTTTTTGATTAGACAAAATTATTTTATTTTCCGACGTTCTTTTTCATTTTTTTAATGATGGAAATTATACGTGGAGCCTCCTTGATTTTTGGTATTTTTCAGTTACAAATAAGTAAACTCTGATGCTGCAAATTTCCATTGTTTCTCGGCCGGGGTCAGTTTTTTTCTTCTTCCTCCTCTTTTTATTTGAAGGTTGTCCCCAATTTAGAGAGTATAGAAAAAGAAGGACAGAGAGAGAGAGAAAAAGAGAGAGAGAGAAAAAGAGAGAGAGAGAAAAAGAGAGAGAGAAAGAGTTTTAAAAGAAAGCACAAATGCCTTATTTTAATTTTAAATATTATTTTGTTTATATATTTTATTTTTATATTTTTTTTGTATTTTATCTGCGCTCCCTTCAATCTCGAAAAAACTGAGGTTCCTGAGAATTTATCCTTGTCAAAGCAGCCTTTTTTTTCCTTACGTCATTAATGGTCTGATAATGGGCATCTTTCACGAGAAATTTAGTAAATATGAAAAGCGGGTTTTAAATCAGAACTGTAAAGTGGATGTATAATGAAATACATGATGTTCCTTAACAGAGTTCCATTTCTACGATGCTTTGTAAGGCGATTTTCTGTGTAAGTCGGAACGTACCTGAAATTTTCTGTGAATAAGCACTTACATCATTCATCTATGTTAATGCAATAGTAAAGTAATAATCTAGAAGGCGACATTTCTATGACATATGTTAACATAATTAGGACTAAAAATATATGGAAGACATAAATATAATGCACATAATGAAATGGAAGTAATACATAATGAAATGACATTGTTTTAAGCTGCTTGTATCTTTATTTTCAGTGATGTCATTGGCTCTCAGTAGATGACGAAGCATAAGATCTTGTCTTTCTTGAAGTACTTGGAAGCAGCAGTAAATTTGCGGAAGAGAGAAAAACACACGTGAGTTTTTTTTTTTTTTTACTTTTTTTATGGGAATTCGCTAAATTATAGTTTAACAAAGAAATGTCCTTATCTCTTAGAGGAAAATTCAATATGTAACCACATACCGGGTGTAATAGCCAAATCAGGTAGCTGCAAAAATGTCTAATTGTTAGATTAAGTTTGAACCGTTGTATCTTATAAATGATTAAAGATGTCTTATTGGAATTCTCCGAGGTTTTATAACAATAACACTGATGAGTTCTACTTTGAACAATAAGTATATATTTAGAGTTGAAATGATGATCCCTGCTGCAGCTGGGATCTCCTGATCCATATTTCTTTTCTACAGTTCTCTCTTTTTTAAACTTATTCACCATTGTCTTGATGGTTCTTGATTGGACTATGAAGATGGAACCCACACTATGAATGTTGGTACCAATACTGAAGGCCTTAATGATCTTTTTCCTCTCACCATTGCTCAGTTGAGAAAACATAGTGGGGCTGACACAAAACGATTTTAACCTGTTCTTTTTCTATCTGAATAACTCAAAGGGTTTTTCTGCGATTCTTACGTCAAATGGTGTCAAGATGGCTGAACGTCTTATCTGAAAACCTAGAAAAAAGAAACCCAATTAGTTTAGTGTTTTTTTGTTTGTGTTTTTTGTTTTGTTTTGTTTTTTAGATATTAAACATTTTGTGAGACGGAAAATTATCCCATACTGTTACATGATTTGGACAATTTTGCTGCTACACGATTTGGACAATTTTGCTGTTACATGATTTGGACAATTTTGCTGTTACATGATTTGGACTTTTGCTGTAACACGATTTGGATAATTTTGCTGTTACATGATTTGGACAATTTTGCTGTTACATGATTTGGACAATTTTGCTGTTACACAATTTGGACAATTTTGCTCTTACATGATTTGGACAATTTTGCTCTTACATGATTTGGACTTTTGCTGTAACACAATTTCGACAATTTTGCTGTTACACAATTTGGACAATTTTGCTGTTACATGATTTGGACAATTTTGTTGTTACATGATTTGGACTTTTGCTGTAACACGATTTGGACAATTTTGCTGTAACACAATTTGGATAATTTTGCTGTTACATGATTTGGACAATTTTGTTGTTACATGATTTGGACAATTTTGCTGTTACAACTGATATATACAAGTGACAATTGCAAAAAAAAGCCAAGCAACAGGCCAATATTTGTCCCTGTTTGTCCCTTTTTGAATCGTTTAACAATGTCTAATTTCACTTCCATGGAGATAGATTTTCTTTTCTTCAAAGCACCACTATAAGAATAGGGTACATTATGCTTGAGAGCCATGATGAAGGGAAATAAGTTTCAACAAACACAACACAAACAAAAGAAAGCAAATGCACAACAATACAATATGACGTCCAACCAGGAACTGACCTACGACGTCTTATGTACTTTGTGGTGGATTAGCCAATCTGTATCGGTGACAAATGCAAATTAAACTGAACCTCTACTATTCTTACTAAATCAAATGCAACAAAGACAACAAAAACAACAAAAATAACAAGAGGAATAGTCAAATAGGCAGATATTTGTTTTAATAGAAAATATTTTTATATAACAGCAAATACACACGATATAATAAAGTTGTTCAAAACACTTTAGAGTTCTTGGTTATGTGATCAAGGGTAATATAAAAGGTGTTATGCTATAGATCTGGTAAGAAATTAAACAGTTTATGTTGATGGTGAAATTGAATGAAATAGATTGCTTGACTTACTGTAGAGTTGTCTCGCTTCGACTCATATAGTTACGATTTCCTTTATGTTGGTTTATAAATCTCGTCTTAGTTGAATTCGTCACTAGATGAGTTGATGTTGAAAAGAAATTGAATTCCACAAGCCGGGTTGATGTTAATAAAAATTTAGCGATGAAGTTGGCAGTTTCATGGATTCGTGTGACGAGTTGATTATTTTAAGGACTCACTGACTAAGTCGCGTCGAAGTTTCATATTTATTAATTTTCTTGATCACGTGATAGGCTCGAGAGAATGTTTACCAGTTTTTTGTCACGTTGAACTCTGAACAGGTCAACTCGAGGTCAAACTTGGGGTATAGGCAGAAACATGAAATTTTATTTATGGACCAATCAGAATGCATTGTTTCGTACTGAACTCTGGAGCTGATTTTAATGGGTTCAGCCCAAACTGAGAATACTTAGCTGTGTTCCTCTTTTAACAGGTTTAAAACAGAGAATGTAGAAATCTTATTCTACAACTCCAAATGGCATCGATCAAAACAAAATTAATGGAAATTGAATCGTAAGTACGAATCAATGTAAGTTGGGAATGTTGCAACCCCGGGACTTACTTTACTTACAATGTTCCCCATTTTTCATGACAGAAAATGCACGATTAATTTGCTTTGGGAAGGCGCTTTTCGAATGATGTACTGTCTGTATTGAATTATTTATGCACACGTATCTATTATTTGATTATTACATTTACTTTTAATAATATTATTCCTTCGCCTCTAGGTTATAATGGGTTAGTCAATCTGTATTGGTTAAAAATACAAATAAAACTGACCCTGTACTACTTTTACTAAATCAAATGTCACAAAGACAACAACAACAAGAGAAATAATCAAGTAGAAGAAATTGTTCAACAATAAATAGT